AACAACTGGCGGGTGCATCAGACCTCTGGCTATTGGTCCAGCCCAGAGTGTATTATTACCAATTGGCCAATCCACCAACTTTTACGAGGCGTCGCGTGGGGCGGCGCGGACAAGTTGTCCGCAACAACAAGAGGCCAGAGGAAAAAAAAAAAAAAACAGACACCGGCCCATAAAAGATGAAAGGGTCGGCCCAGCGGGCAGTTGCCCGCTATGCCCTATGGTCAGTCCAGCGCTGATTCACTCTGAGTTTCACATGCAGGCAGAACATGATAATAGCCTCCCACCCCTATTTCCGGCTTTAGCCGCCAAAAGAAAATTAATAGGAAAACACTCGGGTCAGAAAAAGCTAAGCAGATCTATGTCACACTGTAAAATAGCTTTCATGGACTCATCCATCTTGGCTCACGACCAGGCAAATAGAAGCAAAGTGTTAGCATTAGCAACTCCACAACATGGTGAAATACATTCAGGCTTTTGTTTTATGTGGAGATAAAACATCAATGTTGCATTTTTTAGAGCGAACAAAGGCAACGGAAGAGTGGTGTTGCTGTAAGCCAATCAGAGGCATGACGTTTGCACTCCAAGAATCCAATTCCAGACATTTTCAGTCGCCTCTCCTGCTAACTTCTACATCTTGAAACAGGAGCACCAGGGCTTTTGAGACCACAGCAGATTCATCAGGAAATAAAACTGAGTGTATGGCCATTTTAAAACACATTGAAGGGTTTTCCAGCAGGAACAGCCTGCTTAAGTTAATAGATCAGACGCTCTAGAGCAGAATTCATGGTTTCATCAGTTACGGCCCGTGGACCTAAAGCAGCAAATCAGTCCCACCATGTCTGACTGTTGGCACACCTTTCAGAAGATTCTGCTTTGTTTCATCAGCCCAAATAATTTTTCCCTAAAGTCTTGAGGATCATGGAGATGTTTTTTTTTGGACAAATGTGAAACGGGTTTTGTTTTTAATAGGAAGAGGCTTTGGACCTAAACACTCCCATGGAGATTCAAGCATTCTTTGTCCCACCATCAGAAAGTGGTCTGCTCAGCTGGAAATGAGATATTATACAGATCACTAGGCATATAACGATCAAAAGAAACTGTACAGTATTCTCAACTCTGCACTCTCCCTCAAAGATGATCCTACCCCCTCTCCCCTACAGGGGCTGGCTCTCTGCAGTGAGTTTCAATTTTTTTTCCTGCACAAAATCCAGAATATCAGATTCAGCTTCCTTCACTCGGGTCCAATTTCCTGTGAGGAGTTTCATTGCTCACCCCTATTTTCCTTTTTTAATCAGGTGTCACTCTCTGCTATGGTTGATTTAATTTTGACTATGAAGCCCTCAGGCTCTCCAGAGGATTGCCTTCCCCCAAAACTACTATGTGATGTCTTCCAGTGTTGTCCCCTGCTGTTTGGGACTTTGCTAATTCCATCTTCTCCTCTGGTGTGTTGTCTGCTGCATTTAAAAATGCAGTAGTTCAACCTCTATTAAAGAAACCACCTCCACAAGAAACCACAAGCTCACTTCTCACTTTGATGACAATGGGCATCAGTCAGACTTCAGACCAAATTACAGCACAGAATCAGCCCATGTTCAGGTTCTCAATGATGTCCTGATTCTAACTGACTCTGGCTCCCATGTCTTGTTACTGTTACTTGACCTGACTGCAGCATTCTACACTGTAGACCTCATCCTACTTCACAGACTTGAATCATGGGTGGGTGTGACTGGTACTGCCCTGGCCTAGTTGAAATCTTACCTCACTGATCAGTGTTTTAGTGTCCATATTAGAGACTGCACCTCTCCCAATGTCCCACTTCCATGGGGAGTGGCTCAGGGCTCTATCCTGGGTCCTCTCCTATTTTCCATCTACACGCTCCGTTTCAGAAAGATTCTAGCCAGGCATGGGTCAGCTACCACTTCTATGCTGATGATTGCCAAATTTACCTTAGACTCAGTCAACAACACTCGACTTCTGTTTTGTCAGAATGCCTCTCCTCTTGCAGTTAAACCCGATGCTGACCTCTCAATGACTTCACAAATCAACACCACTGTCAGGTCCTGCTTTTTCCAACTGTGGTGCATCACAGGCCTTCAACCCATCCTCAAACCGCACCTTGAATGTCATTCATGCGTTCATTACTTCCCATCTGGATTTCGCCAATTCTGTGCTGATTGGGATTAATGCATCCACCTTAGGCAGACTACAGAAAGTTCAAAATGCTGCAGCCAGATTTTAAAATAATACAGACAGACGCATGCACATCACTCCAATTCTCGCTGATTTACACTGGCTCCCAGTAAAATTTAGGATTAATTTCAAAATTTTGCTAAATGTATTCAGGACTTTGAACTGCCCATCTTCATCTGGCATATTTGCTGTCTCCATATGTACCCATGCGTCCCCTTCGATCAGCCGATGACCTGCTGCTGGTTGTCCCAAAAGTTCGCTACAAATCACGGGGGAAGCATGCCTTTTCTCATGCAGCCCCTATGTTGATGTAACAGGGTGAGCGTCCTGTCACTGTATCCCGATTGATCATGCGCCCTGGCTACTTGGCCACAGGGATATCCCTTTGGCTGACTGGTTAGCTCGTGTGACTCTCACCCAGAGGTCTGGGAATTGAATACCGCCCGAGCCCTCATTTCTCCACCTTGCCACATTATGGTATCACTTTTTGTTGAATAATAACCTCTGATCCTAACCTGAACTGTGTTAGATGTTCTGGGTTCGTTTGTAGATCTGCTGTTGAGGTGGCTTCCTGGATGCCTCCCTGGTGAGGTTTTCCGGGCATGTCTGACTGGGAGGAGACCCAACAATAAACCCGGACACACTGGAGGGACTATGTTTCTTGGCTGGCTAGGGAACACCTTTGGATTCCCCTGGAGGAGCTGGCCCATGTGGCTGGGGGGAGGGAAGCCCGGGTCTCTCTGCTTAGGCTGCTACCCCCGCAACCCGACTCTGGATACGTGGAAGAGAATGGGTGGATGGACGGCATCTTTTGCTCTTGAGATTCTTTAAACCTAGGCGAGGTGTTGTTTTAGGGGATCTCTAAGGCTACTTCATCTTGTCAGGTTCTAAAAGGATTTATTTCTACAGATCTTGCAGTAATCAGCACTGGGCGCGCCGTGGCAGGTGGAACTGAACTCCACTTTATTAATAATGTGGTAAATCACAGTTAATTTATGGTTTAACAAGGACGACTAATTCTTTTTCACATGGGGTTATCATTTAAGACTTTCATTTTCTATTTACTCAGATTAATTTAGCCTGAAATTTGTTAGCAGATCTCAAGAATTTACATGTAATTTAAAACTGGAGAAATCTGTAAGGGGGCCAATCCTCCTTCATACCACTCTAGGTGATCAGAGATTTTCTGTTTGTTTTTTCTCCAGACACAGGATGAATAATTCCTGCAAACCGAATCAAAGACCCTTTTATTACTGCAGTCTCTGTGAATATGTTAGCTTATGGAGCTCATATGGAGCCTGTGGTTAACTGGACGACTGCCCAGGCCTGCCAGGAAACCATGCTGTGATAAATGGAAATGTGCAGATGCAGCTAATTGCAGACAGAGGAGATGAAATGTTATCTGAAAGTCTTTCATGGATTTTCCTTTCTGCTTTGATATGTTTTCATAGAACGTAGCCACCCAGTTTCAATAAATCACTGTAATGCATTCATACACTCTTAGCTTAAACATAAAATATCATATTTGTGCTTTAATTCTGGCATTGATGACTGATACTATGCTCCAGCTCATATTGATTTATCTGAAATAACTATTATACTGTAACAGAATATGTCTTTTAAACTTCCACATGTAGGATTTTTTTTGTTAGAGCTTATGGATGTACAAGGTTCAAGGACCAGGAGAATAGTGTAATTTTTGAGTTTCAGACTGGCTGATCACTGATTAAAAACGGAATATCAGCCAATCACAATGACTGGCATTTTGCTGCATGTCTAATTTTCATGCTGATGACAGTTTTCCTCACTTCTAAATGTGTGGACAGAAGAAGAGGCAGAGCATTTGTGTTCAGATCTGTTTGATCTGCTTCAGAATTAATAAATAATGAGCAGGAATCAGCAGTAAAACACGACACCCATGAGTCCTGCTGAACAGCATTCAGTTTTCTACCATTTCAGCATCTCTGAGAGATGTGGGCGACAAACGATGAAGTCATTTTTCTCACTCTCACTGCTGATGCAGTCACGGTTTTGTGGCTATGTAGGGCAGTGCTGCCGGATGGATTATCAAAGGTTGGCTCCTGACTTCAAAAAATATCTGGATTAGATTAATCCATAGTGTGAGAGGTGACATGTTTGGGTTATTATTCCAGTGATTAATGGAATATTTGAGTACTTTCAGTCTTGTGAGATGACCTTTACTCTGAAACTTTATGCCTCTTTGAGTTTATCAGCATTTAGGTCAAAATAAAATCCCGTTTCTGAATATAAACACAATAACAAACGGTCAAGCTGCGTGGTACAAAGTAAAAGTGCTGTTCACATTCGCGCAGGGATGCTCCAGCCAGTGGTTCATGCTGAATAGTTAGCTGTTTATATGAGCTGAGTGGAGGATGCAGACTTAACACATAATGCTTCTGTAATGAGTGCTACGAGATGCTATGAAAACTCCAGTTAGGGGTAATGGTGCCATTTAGATCTGCATAAATGAGATTTTCCACTTAGTTTCATTTGATCGTATCTGAGTTTATCTGGATACAGTGATTTTCAAGTAAATAATTCAAGGGTTAATTTTAATAATCTTGAGAATATAAAGAAAATATTGAATTCATGGCAGATATTTTGACTTAACAGGACCCTTAATGACATAATAGGGAAGGCTAAGGCTGCATTTTAAAGTGGAAACCATCCCTTATTATTACACCTGTACTTTCCAAACTCAAAATAGCCAACAGTGTCTGAAAATGACCTTTAATTACACCAAAGGGAAATTTAGATGTTAATCACCCTTTTTTATGCTCTGTGGTCAGATCCTGCTGGAGCCAGCGATCATCCAGGATGTCCTGTCTGCAGGAAGCCACCTTCAGCTGCTGGAGCTCCTCAGCCTCTGCTCACATTACCTCATACAGGTACGCCCACATCCTCACAGCTTGGAGTTTGCATTGACTTCCATTCATCCTGGACAGTTTATGATCCAAAATCGGGCTAAATCCGCTCTAACCTAAACCTAATTCACACTTTAAAACTTAACCAGATTCCAGAAGTTACATCCTTGGGATTCAGCCGCCATAAGGTAAAGTGGTCTGGTCCATCAGTCCAGTATTCAATTTAATTTCAGTTTAGTTCATTTGTATATCGCAAAATCATAAAAGCTAGTTAGTTCAGTTTCCTATGTAAGAAAACCCAGCAGATATTATTGAGGAGTCACTGACTAGTGTCAGTGTTTTTACATCAGTCCCCATCATGGTCCCCATACTAATCAAGCATGTGGCGCCAGCGGAGAGGAAAACTCCCCTACAACAGGAAGTAACCTCCAATAGAACCTGTCTCAGTATGAGCAGCCATCCACCACGACTCGCTGGGGATTTGAGAAGACATAGCAGATGTGCATACGCACACACACACGCATGCATATGCATGCGCGCGCACACACACACACACTCAAAACAAATCAACTAGTAGTAGCAGATTCTATGTTAAAGAAAGTAAAACATTAATATCAGGAGAGGGAGAATGTCCGGTGGTTGGCTGCTGTGTGCCAGCTGATGGTCCCCTCCAGAAAGGTATCACGGCTCAGCAGAACAACAGTGTAGCTGAGAAATCTTATTTAGCAATTAAAGGGATTTTAAGCTTTTTTTTAAATGAGTTTCTGTAACTAGGAGGAATGAAACATGCAGCGAGCAGTTTGGCTATTGGCTCTCTGAGTGTGGTGACTGGTCTGTAGCAGACAGGACACAGTTTGTGACGTTCAGGACAACCGGGTTAACAACATTTGGTTGGTGTACCCTCCCAGAGTGGTTTCCATGGTTCTCCTCAGAGGTAAACACCACAGGAGTAGGTTTTACCACCAGCCTATCAGCAGACTCGAGCAGGTAGGTGAACTGTGGAGAACTGAGTTAAGCCCGTTTACAGATGACTGTTGCATCTACGGGGTGGGGGAGGGTACGGCTGTGTGGAAACCAGGATCAGAGGAGGAACACGAAGGGGTGTGGTCAGAGACAGAGCCGCATGACAGCAGCAGAACATGAAGGTTTTAAATAGTTTGGAGAAATGGTTTGATGTTCTGCAAGACCGATGAGCTTACAGCTAGTTCAAGTGTCAATGCCAAAGATTTTTGCTGTTGTCTAGAAATGGCTCCAATTTCTAATTTGCTTACCGCATAACAAAAAACTGATTACAAAATAATAAAAACCAAAATGGTGCTGTTACAAATCAGTTTGATAATTAATAAAAAAACATAATAATGGTGTAAACTGTTTAACAGCAGCTACACAAGATATGAAAGTCAAACTAATTTCCTCAAAGGTTTACTTTATTATTTAGTGTAAAGATAGAACAATTTTCAAATAATTTCTTTGTTATTTTTTAACCAAAATTATTAACAAAGTTCATCACCTGAAGAGTAGAAACCATAGTCTTATGGTTTAATATCAAAACTAACAGAAGTATAAAAAGAGTCGTGTTAACAGTTTTCTCCTTCTCACATTCAGGCGGAACACAGAAGAGCAGGTCAACATTACATTGCTCATGGGCACTATAGCATCATTCATACTCCTCTTTCAACTTGAAGGAGTGTCCATGTCTTGTAGGATTAGACCACCCTACTTAGTGTTTGCTTTTGTTACACGACGCAAATCAACAAATCAGGCTGAGGCCACTGCAGATGTTCAAGGTCTTTGATGCACAGAATGCACAGGAAATTCATTGTAATAAAATATGTGTGAAACTATACTTTATTTAATGTTTTCACACTCTACAAATCTAACACAACATTTTATTGTGATTATTCCAAATCTTATCCAG